TAACCCTCCTGAATACAGATTTAAAATTAATTCAAAAGTTCTTGCAGAACGCAATAAAAAGGAACTTCCGAATATTGTATAATAAATAAGAAATCATTTAAATAAAATTGCAAAACAAACAAGTTATAGAGGAATTAAAATTGGTGGATTCAATATGATTGATCTTGACTTAATGGAGACGTTAAAGGGTATTCAGATATACTAGTATACAAGATCATTTACTCAGGAATGCATTTGGGAAATATTGGCTTCAAAAATATGATTCTACAATCTCCCTTTCCATTTGTGTAAATGTAACACTAAAAAATCACTAGAATTACAAAATAGTCCACAGGTCTATAAGATATCTTTTCAAGGTTGGTTGGTTATGCTAAAAAGACGTTCGGTCGAGACAAAAATAAACTACTAAATCAACGGATATTTGAAAAAAATTAACTGGACAAAATCGAATATAATGAAAATAAAAGAGATATTGAGTGAAGAAAGAATAAATAAATTATCAAGACTTTTGGAGAAGTCACGATTCAAAGATAACTGGTTATCAGAATTTTCCATCGTCAAGATTGCAATTTTTTCTTGAAACAATTGGTTTCAAGAACCCAAATCAATTAACCATGAGATTCCAGAAATCGAACCCATAATTGTAAATGATGAACTACATATTAAATCAAATAAAAACAATGAAGTTATACATCCGAATAAGTTAAAGAATAATATATAGAAATAACTAATTTTCAATAAGAAATATTATCTCAAATAACAAAACAGCTGGAATGCTGTATATCAAAATAATGACATAGATTGGGTTAGATTTTGGATTTCTATAAACTCATCTATAGCAAACAGGAAATGTAAAAACTTCAAATGGAAATGTTTAAATAACATTAGTTCTACGGAGGCCAGGTTATTTTAAATGAGACTGTCAAACGGTTTATGTACACTGATGGTTCGAAAGATGATCACAAACCGGATGCAAGCTGCCAAACTCTGCATCAATGTCCTATACGCAAACCAATGATACCTCTCTCATCCTTGAACACATCAAAATAAATGACGTACCAAAGTCAATTATCTATTCTGATTTACTATCTGTTCTACAGAGTCTTCTCAACACAAGTTTGAAGATTTCAATTAGAAAAATGTTAGGATTATTACATTGTAATACCTCTAAATGTAAAATTGCATTATGATGGGTTCACGAACATGTGGGAAAACCAGGTAATGAGGGGACAGATCGCGTCCAAGGTGGCGTTATTGGTACCGCCTGTTTATTAGAACGTCATGGCACAGATTTTAAGCCGTTAATAACAATTTTTAAGGTCAAAGTGGCAATGTAAATGGAATCGATGCGTAGACAACAAATTACCCTCTATAAAACCTAACGAATGTGAATGGTGTTCCAGCTATAGAGAAAGCCGCCGGGACGAGGTTGTCCGTGTCTGTCTCCAGATTGTATTGACATTGAGCCACCAATCAATCAAACGAGTTTTTTATGATAATATTACAAATCTCAAATCTCTGTTCGAATCAGTAATTTTCGCCACAATTCTAAACTACCTGACAATTGTTGGTCTGTCCAAAAAGCTATAAATATTCCTAGTGACTAATTCTTTTGGCATTTGCTTTTTATTAGCCCTAATGACCTCTGCTGAATTATCGAATGACGATGAAGGTCAAGAGGTAAAGGTTGCAAATGAAAGAATTTATCGTCTCAGGTACGGAGCTGGTTGCTGTTACACACATACCCGGCTGCTCAACGTTGCGGTTTCTCCAACTGGCTAATGTGACAGGTGTTGAGAGGGTCCCAAACTGAGCCTTATTCTAGATTAGGGCAGCTGCCGAGGAGGCTACCACTAAGGCATCAGAATTAAGGATGACATGAGTTGGATAAGCAGAGTTGTAAAAAGTGGCTAAAATGCCTTTTTTGGTTCGTTTGTTTCAATATATTGTAGACCAAGGGGAACAACCCGTAAAGTGTTATAGTAAGACTCCAGGATTCTGGAAGCTGTTATGGAGACTAGATTTCTAGATTTCTCCAAAAATGGAAATTTGTAATTTTTTCAACCACCTAAGCACTTTGTTTACTTCCAGTGCTTCCCATGCCCGAAAGCTTTATGTGAAGTTGAAAATAACAATTTACCTCTTCGATTTCCGTATTTATAACGTTTAACCAGTGAAGCATCAGTATTTTTTCCATTGATAAAATCTTAACTGCACTGAGGTGAGTATTTACGTATTGTTTTATCACACATTAATCTAGCACTTTACAAAGCTACTTTTTAATCACTACGTAGATGTTCAGTTCATGTTCGGATGATCCGATGGTAGATTAAGCGTTTGTTTGTATGTGCCTCTGAAACATGAATTATAGTGTTTATGTAACAACACAATTGTTATAATGTATGTTGGGAGACCTTTCCAGATAATAGCAGCAAACGGCAGAGTTGCTTTGAGAGACCATTCAAAATGACCTTCTGCTTTGTTGTCAAGCATAAGCGTGACGTCATTAGAACCTGGCGTCATAACGCACTTTTCTGATGTAGCAATATAAGCGACGCGTTACCTTTTAAAAAATGTAATGAAAAGAACATTTAATGTCTTTCCCGTTGATACACATTGTAGTATTCCTCTTTAGATCTGAAGAATGAATGTAGTACAAAAAATAGAATAACAGGAGAAATATAAACAAATGTGTATCAATATGCAATACTGCAAAACAATAAAACTGACGTTGACATTTAAACTTGAAGTTAAAAATGTACATTTCCGCGATTTTGGAAAATTAGTGAGTGGCAGTAGTGCAACATGTGTGAAAATCATGTTCTGATCGATAAAACTCATGTCATTAACAAATATATTCGAAGAATAAATTGAAGTATGCGTGATCCTTTCCCACATATGGCAGGTAGTGACTTTACAAAAGATTTGGTGGGCAGCAGCTTTGCTACATTTTCTTTATTTTGTTGAATAGATCCATCTATTATTCTATTTGAGAAACTCTGAGAACTATTCCATTCCTAATTTCCGCTTACAATCTTCACTCAACTCGTTCATACCTTCTACTTTAAGACTATGGAATGAGCTTGACACTAATATTAAAACTGCACATTCTTTTAAGAGCTTCACAAACTGCCTCAAAAAACAAAATGAAACATTTAAAGTGCCTGTTTTTTATTTAGCCGGTGACCGTAAGTTAAATATTTTACTAACCAAACTCCGTCATAAATGCAGCCCTTTAAATGATGATCTCTTTAATGTTAACCTAATCAACTCTCCTATTTGTGCATGTGGATATCCTAATGAAAATGCTCATCATTTCTTTTTTACATGCAGTATATATACTGATCAAAGAGTTGAAATGTTTAGAAATCTTCATGAATACTTACCTCTAAGCTTAGAGAAATTATTGTATGGCCATGAAGATTATTCGAGTGACGAAAATAAAAATGTATTTATATATGTCCAACAGTATGTATCGAGTACTCGCAGGTTTTAAATTTGGTCACGTTCTTCTGTCTCCTCTCCAACAGTCCTCATTATCTTTCATATTCATTTCTTAGCTTGTGTCCGTATTACATGGCATAACGTACACTTGTGTGTTCCTTATTATTTTAGTAATCCTCTGTAATGTTTAACTTTCTTTTAAGTGCACGAGAGCGTGAATGCAAGAAGTGTGCGTGTGCTGGAATGTATGTAATATAGGCATGTGATGGGCCATTCAGTTACAGCCAGTGCGGTAGAAACGAATTTTCGAGAAAGGATGGAATGAAAAGGAGAAAGACACAAAGCACGGNTCTCTCTCTCTCTCTCTCTCTCTCTCTCTCTCTCTCTCTCTCTCTCTCCCAATAATAGATAAATGTATTGATTTAAACTATGAAATCCATCTTATGATGTGTATATACAATTATTTATCTTATAAGGAAAGGGCGTTAATAATGTTCATGTAACTTGTGCCCAATCGTCTTGCATTTTTTGGCAATAAAATATGTTTAAACTATTATTCTAGGTACTATTTATAGATAGGGAACTTCTGATTAACTAGTAGAAATTAGATGAAAACTGTATACCTATAGAGTTCCAGTTCAAATATTTTTATATCCAGATGATTTCCCAATGGCACCTAGAATCGTAGTGAAATACCTTTACATAGTTTATTGTTATTGCTAAATCCTGATTCTCTTAAGTATGTGTTGTATAAGGTAAATAAGTATCAAACTGAATTTGTATCCTGTCTTGGTTCCATGTCAGGCAGGCAGACAGACAGACAGACAGGCAGGCAGGCAGGCAGACAGGCAGACAGACAGACAGACAGAGCAGGCAGGCAGGCAGGCAGGCAGGCAGGCATGCAGGCACGCACGCACGCACGCACAGACAGACAGGCAGACAGGCAGACTCAATATACGTTTGGCTTTCAATGTTGTTTTCTTTTTCCTTTTTTTCTTTTTTCTTTCCATCTTTTCAAAGGGCGATGTTCCGAATTTTTGGAACATCAGGAAATACACAGAGAATTTTGTGAGTACCTGTCCTGTTTCGATCAAACGCAAATCAAACCTGAAATAGACCAAATGTGTCTCACAATTTCTATGACAAGGAAAATCGAGAACCTTTTTCAACAACGGACGGTTTTAAAACGAACATACAAACATTGTATTATTGTTTATAAGAATAATGTTCCCGTGAAGACATATTGGAAAGAAATAATCTTGTAATTATGAGATAAAACCGTCCACTGATAAGTCGCATGGGTTTACTTAAACCTTTGCATAATGACGGCTTTATACAAAATGTATATGCGTAGAAATCTCCAGATTCCCTAAGGTGATTTTATTAAGTTTCTTAAATGTAAATGTATCACAGGGTTACCTATATGGTTGTAATGAAATCAAGCGTTCAGAGTGTCATGGACCGATAGTGTTATATTTGGAACTCTGAGGAGTTCCAGTTATATATCTTTTTACCGTCACATCTATAAATAGAGTTCGACTACATACCTAAAATAAGTCATTCGTGTCAACGACAAACAAGCTAAGAATAGTTCGACTGGAGTTTCCATTTTCGGTTTATTTGACTGTATGGTCAGCTAAGGAAGAAGTGGGGCGATGAACACAAATGTGAGTGTTATTTGATTTTTCTATTATCATGTAATTATTGTTGTCATTGTGAATTTTGGAAGTCATTGACTCTCACCTTTAATGGTGTCTCCGTTTACATCCGGGAACGTAATATGTAACCACCTATCAAAGACACAAACTATTCCACATGTTAGATACTGACATAATGCAGACTTATCACACTCGTTGTCATGACGATACCTGTAATATTGACTGAAGTCTGACAGATAAACAAACATCGCTTTCATTTTACACGAGTAACTGACATCGTATACTAAGTACAGTGATATTTCCCCCCTTTTCTGTCGTGGTCAGAACTTGCAAACATCGCTTTCATTTTACACGAGTAACTGACATCGTATACTAAGAACAGTGAGATTTCCCCCTTTTTCTGTCGTGGTCAGAACTTGTTATAACCGTTGTTGTAGCCGGTAACATTTTATGGAATGTGTTCTACCTGATATGCTTAAAGCTCAATTATCGATTACCATTCAAGCAGAAATATGTTTCTGTACAAAATACAGCATTGATTATCTTTAAAAGGGTGCTCACTCATTACATTACTGACTGTATTTGTAACCCTAACAAATCGAATTCAACATGCTTTCTCCAATGTCTTTTGTCGATCCACATTTGCACAAAGTCTGTTAATAGATACAGAACAATAACTCTACTGTCATACTCAAGCACCGTGTCCTTAACGGGTTGAGTTATTTTGAACATAAACGTATATTACAGAGAGCTTAACTTAGTGCTGATGGCTGGAAACTTGCATTCTGATCAGAGGAAATCTGTCACCAAACTTTGTGCACACACATGTCTTATATTGAACACAGATAGCACTACCAGTATTTACATTTGTAATGTTTTATACCGGTGTACAAAGCACTGGCTATGCACCTTGCACATGTATACAATCTTGATAAATGTTTCGAGACAAGTGTACTATGCTATATTATCCAATACGAAACGTGATATCGAGTATAAAGTGTGTAAACACACGGTCCATACAGAAACGCATATGTGTATGCTGTCATAGACAACGCTTTATGTGAAGGTCGATCCAGAACCAGACGGTAGTGCGTGAAAATGAGACTGTATTGTACTGAGTCATTATTGGTACGGTATGAATAACGTGTTTCTCCCACACTTCACAGGTACATTCCCGTTTTTTGGTAGGGAAAAGATAAACCTGTTTTGATCTACCTCGATCAAGACAGCTGACACGCGCTATTACGTCACAGACAACGCACTTCTTTCAACATGACCTGTGACCCTGTGCACTTTTAGCAAAACCGATTACATCATCACTTTTAACAAAACATGGCAAGCTCAGCATTCCGACAGTTCAATATAGGCGAATGTGTTGCCGTAGGAAAATATGGTGAAAAGGGAAGAATTGTTGATGAATTTTAATGATGATAGTTCGGTGCATTGGGGTCAAAAATACAACTTCGCAGTGAAGTTATTTTTTACGGTATGAAAATGTGGGAGAAAAATAATCAATCACTCCTGTGTGATGCAGACAGAGTTATCTCAACCCTCGGGATGAGATTTTATTTAGGGGTAGCACTCGGCAAAGCCTTGTGCTAAACCTAAACAAAATATCTCACCCTCTGGTTGATATAACTCTGTCTACATCACACAGGAGTGATAGATTCTATTATTCTCGCAGGTGTATAACCATCTGTCTTTTGGGGAAATAAGTAGGTAGTTAAACATTCTGTAAACTGTACATCGCTTCTCACAAGTATAATGTCTACAATGAAGAGATACATGTGGTACGCTTTGTACGGAAACTGTGCTAGAAACATGTATTTCTTTTGTTAAGAAATACATTCTGTGTTGATTTGGCATTCAGTCATTAATGACTTGTAAATATAAATAATGAACCCATAATATGATAAAAGAAAAAAAAAATACTTTGAAACTAAATTGGAAGTTTACACATGTAAATTATAATGACAATTTACAATTGAAGAATACGGGTACACATTGCTGTGAATATAGATTATAACCATGCACGGTCAAACTCCTTTTAAAAATAATACTATGTATCATGTCGGATGCCCATATGAAGCAAAAACCCTTGACGTTTTGAAATAATTATTTATTTTCGTTTGGTTTGAGATTGATGTCTTCTCGGTTCGAGTTGTCTTTCTTCTTGCCGACGACATGGTATACTTTATTTCTTTTGCTTTGCGTGACTCATTTTGGGTTTTGAAGAGAAAAAAAAATGAATATAACCAATAAACATGACGTCACATTTTTGATATGAAGGTGCAGTTACTTTAATCATGTTGATGGGTATACTACTTAATATCTCACTGCTTAGGATTCATAGATATTGACATGCCCCAGGTATCCATAACACATTAGTGTACCCTATATCAGGTGACTGTGTCATGTGGAACACGTTTAAAGGGGAAACTATTTCAAGTGGAACAGTTATAAAGGATTACTTTTTCATGTGGATCTGTCAAAACGATATAAAGGGCGACGTTATACTGTGGATCATTTATGAAGCTACTTCGACCTTTGCATGGCTAGTACGCTTTTCAAACTTAGGTAAATGCTCGCTAAACATTTTACAGTTAACAGCAGGTTAGTGTACACTTTACAAGCAGTGTTGTGAGTTTCCAGTGCCTTATTTGATTACTTTAGACAGTCTTTATTAAAATATTGGATAAGAAGTGGCGAAAAAAGCCAGTACACAATTATGAAATATACAAATTCTTCCCTAGGTTTTATCATTTTACTAAAACATTATAATTATAACATACATATGGTAGGGCCTATATATGTCTTATTGTTATATTTGATGTCAGATATCTATACCAGTTGAGGAGCACGGCGAAGCAGAATGCGGATGCTGTTTCGAACTGCTTGTAGAGCCGACTACCTTAGTCTGCGGTCACACATTTTGTAAACACTGTCTGGCTAGATGGACTGTTACCAGTGGACAGCGACGGTGCCAAACCTGTAAACAGGGATGGAGAGGCTCACCGAAGGTAAACATTGTGCTCAGGTAAGTCAAAGGTAGCTAATATATACCTCACATCTGTATTATTGCACAATTTTCTTGATTCAATCGTCTTCGTATATAATCGTGATGCAGGCGTTTTATAATACGTAATGTTGCATATATAATTAGTCGTCATTATACTCAAGTCATGCCGGATTAATTCATCCCGAACATTTCATAACATGTAAACACCGTGTTTGAAAATCTCAAAAACACCTCGTAGACCTGTTCAACAATCTCTTATCGATTTTGTGGAGCTCTAGTTGTATATCATTTCAACATTTGTACCTAAATATATACAAGCATTCTTAAATTTCTTGTTTTTATTAGAAACATGTTACAGAATGCATGGTCACAAAAAATGGCAGACAGGGTGCAGGAAGTCGACACAGACGAAAACCGGCGTTTCCTCTCCGACTTCGACAAAATGAATAATATCGTAACGGCACAAGAGTTGCTCCAATCGGTTCATGGTGGCATGTCAGCAGGAATTTCTAATGCGCAAAACAACCAAACAAGATGCAAATACTTTACGTCTGGTATCGCCCTTACAGTGTTGGTTTGTATTTCTACGAAACGTTAGTTAAATACCACAAATATTTGGTCGATATTTTGCCGTACTGGTGAACTATGTATAGAATTCACGAGGGGAAAACTAAAACTAATATGGATTTTTTTATTTAATTTCCTGCAGAAAAACAGAGCGGATTATGTAGCGTCATATTTTGTACTCTTTACAATGCATCGCGCTAAACAACAAGGATACGCGCTATTTTGAAAAGAAACTTTCCTTTTTTTGTATTTAGTAAAAAAAAATCTACGCATCCCTTGAATATGTCATAGCAAAATTGAAGCTTAGTTATTCGGTTGGTGTCAGGAAAAACAAATAACCGATTGCAAATTAACCGTCACGCGACAGCGAGAGTCTTTTGACGTACATAAAGGGATCAAACAAGTGTCTACTGAGCCCTCTATTTTGTCCTGAAATGTTCCAGGGGCGCAGAGATCGTTAGTTATCGATGAAACTGTTGGAGTACTATGCTTAATTACTTACTGTTGTAATGATAACATAAGGTGAGTTTGAACGTCTCGTTTAAGGTCTTCTGTATTGTGTCCTATATTGGTAATATCGGCCAGAGGACGCTAATTGACACGCCAGTCAAGCAATGGAACACGGATGACGTAGTCACATGGATAGGACATCTTGGCACGTGGGGTGATCACTTTTCGGATGCCATCAGAAAGAATAGCATAGGTGCAGTATTTGGAAAACTTGAAATCTGCGTGGTTAATCGGACATTCATTTTGGTATCAAATACTGAAATTGAAAAAATCATCTGCTGAATACACAATTATATTTTAGCTGCATAACAATCACCATAGAGTGATGGCTAATGTTGTGATTGTACTGCATAACAATCACCATAGAGTGATGGCTAATGTTGTGATTGCACTGCATAACAATCACCATAGAGTGATGGCTAATGTTGTGATTGCACTGCATAACAATCACCATAGAGTGATGGCTAATGTTGTGATTGCACTGCATAACAATCACCATAGAGTGATGGCTAATGTTGTGATTGCACTGCATAACAATCACCATAGAGTGATGGCTAATGTTGTGATTGCACTGCATAACAATCACCATAGAGTGATGGCTAATGTTGTGATTGCACTGCATAACAATCACCATAGAGTGATGGCTAATGTTGTGATTGCACTGCATAACAATCACCATAGAGTGATGGCTAATGTTGTGATTGCACTGCATAACAATCACCATAGAGTGATGGCTAATGTTGTGATTGCACTGCATAACAATCACCATAGAGTGATGGCTAATGTTGTGATTGCACTGCATAACAATCACCATAGAGTGATGGCTAATGTTGTGATTGCACTGCATAACAATCACCATAGAGTGATGGCTAATGTTGTGATTGCACTGCATAACAATCACCATAGAGTGATGGCTAATGTTGTGATTGCACTGCATAACAATCACCATAGAGTGATGGCTAATGTTGTGATTGCACTGCATAACAATCACCATAGAGTGATGGCTAATGTTGTGATTGCACTGCATAACAATCACCATAGAGTGATGGCTAATGTTGTGATTGCACTGCATAACAATCACCATAGAGTGATGGCTAATGTTGTGATTGCACTGCATAACAATCACCATAGAGTGATGGCTAATGTTGTGATTGCACTGCATAACAATCACCATAGAGTGATGGCTAATGTTGTGATTGCACTGCATAACAATCACCATAGAGTGATGGCTAATGTTGTGATTGCACTGCATAACAATCACCATAGAGTGATGGCTAATGTTGTGATTGCACTGCATAACAATCACCATAGAGTGATGGCTAATGTTGTGATTGCACTGCATAACAATCACCATAGAGTGATGGCTAATGTTGTGATTGCACTGCATAACAATCACCATAGAGTGATGGCTAATGTTGTGATTGCACTGCATAACAATCACCATAGAGTGATGGCTAATGTTGTGATTGCACTGCATAACAATCACCATAGAGTGATGGCTAATGTTGTGATTGCACTGCATAACAATCACCATAGAGTGATGGCTAATGTTGTGATTGCACTGCATAACAATCACCATAGAGTGATGGCTAATGTTGTGATTGCACTGCATAACAATCACCATAGAGTGATGGCTAATGTTGTGATTGCACTGCATAACAATCACCATAGAGTGATGGCTAATGTTGTGATTGCACTGCATAACAATCACCATAGAGTGATGGCTAATGTTGTGATTGCACTGCATAACAATCACCATAGAGTGATGGCTAATGTTGTGATTGCACTGCATAACAATCACCATAGAGTGATGGCTAATGTTGTGATTGCACTGCATAACAATCACCATAGAGTGATGGCTAATGTTGTGATTGCACTGCATAACAATCACCATAGAGTGATGGCTTATGTTGTGATTGCACTGTTGTTTCTCTTTCAGATGGTAAGATGTTGCTCGTAATGCAAGAATCCGACGTCAGGAATAGACTTAATATGACAAATGAGCTGCAGAGGAAGGTGTTTCTCAAAGAAATAGCTGCCATGGTGACCACTGGATCGAAACAGCCAGTCAACCTCTGGGAGTACAAGGTATGTATTGTGTAGGAGTAAACATGTCATGAAATACAATAATAGTTTATAGTTATGCCATATTTGTCGATAGTACAGATATTTATAATAATTTACTCAGATGAAAGCTTCTTATGTGGCGATTGATGTAAAACATTGTTTGAATGCCATTGAAAAACAACATTGTCGGAATGATAATAATCTTAAATAAAACATCGCTGGGAGGATATCAATTAATAGTAGAACATTGTCGAAATGACACCAATCTTTAATAAAACGTTTGCAAATGGCTTTAAGTATAGCAAAAAAAACGTTAGGATGACATCGGTGTATAAAAAGACCTTGTTTGGACACATTAATATCAATAATAAAACCTTGTCGGGACGACCTCATTCTTTACTAGAACATTGTTTAAATGACATCAATCTTTAGATGGTAGGAAAGACACCAATTAAAATTAAAACATCGTGGAAATGAGATCAGTACAAAGTTAAAAATTGGCGTGTTGACATCAATCTATTATGAATATTTATTTTAACACAGTAACTTAAGATGAAATCTTCATGTCAATTCATATAACTCTTGGAAATATGTTTCAGTCAGCCTATCCAGTCTTTACATTCACCATGCTGTTGGGTTTTAAGCTTTTCCCTCGGATTACCATTGGGTACAGCTACATATTTGAGTACGACACTGTTTACACTCCTTTCATGAAATACGCCTGTTCAGAATTCTCAGGAAATGACATGGAAGAGGCAACGAATGTAAGTTAAATTATAGACCCAACTCGTTAAAATTGTCTTTATACTCAATGATGTTAATTGAATACAAAAAAACCCCTAATTTTGTAAAAACAAATATTGCATAATTAATAGAAGCTTACCTCTATTATAGACTCACCTTTAGTATCAGCTGTTTCTTTTTCTAGAATACATAAAATGACTGCCGAGCTATTTGCAATCAGTCTATATCACAAGACTGCTGAGTTATTTATATTTAGTCAGTATCACATAACTGCTGAGTTATTTATAACTAGTCTGTATCACATGACTGTTGAGTTATTTATAACTACTCTGTATCACATGACTGCTGAGTTATTTATAACTACTCTGTATCACATGACTGCCGCGTTATTTACAATTAGTCTATTTTATGATAAGTCTGTAAAACATGTTAGCTAAGCTATGGATGAGTAATTTTTCTCGAGTTTTTCTTTGAGTAAACCCTTGTAATCACCCTTGTAATCACCCTTGTAATTTGTCTCATTGTGACCTAATCAAATGATAATGACACGATGTGACAGAATCCAAGACAATAGTATCACATCATGATAGAAACAATAGACAAAGGCGGGCGATGTTTTGACTACTTCAATAACCCGAAAAAGAATTTCTTTCATTTTATTCGCAATAATTTTTATAATTTTGTAATATATCTTCAATTTCCTTTGAATTTGTAAATTCCGGGTAATTAATGTTGATATATTTTTTCAGTTTTCTAGGCTGTTTTACATAGCATTCCTGCCTTATTGGTTGGTTGGAAGATATGCATCTGCATGGACGACTGACCACTACTGGGTCAGCAGATTTATAGTCCTAGTCTGTGCCTTTGCTACCATTTATGACGTCATGTTGTTCCTGACAATTTTTATGAAAAAGTGGACCGAAAAGTAAGTATCCTATCACAGGAAAGCTTATCTAATAAATTTAATGTCCTATCGGAATATTCGAACGACGCATCATTAATACCGGTTGTAAAACATTTGACAAATGTTATTTCAATATCCGAGGTTTTAGCTGTCATATCATTTTGATACACGTTTAGAATAATACTATCTGATTATACAACTAGCACGCATACGTATTCCTCATAATACAAATAACCGATACATTTGTAAACTTTTTATGTCTAGGGAAAACTTACAAATATTGTTATTGTGACATAACCTTTTTCTAATTGTAGGGATCTGGAATATGACTTTTTTCCATTTGTAAGGATGTGAAATATGACATAATTTTCTTCTGTTTGTAGGGATGTGAAATATGACATAATTTTCTTCTGTTTGTAGGGATGTGAAATATGACATAATTGTTTTCCGTTTGTAGGTATGTAAAAATATGACATTATTTTTTCTATTCGTAGGGATATACATATGACATTATTTTTTCTATTCGTAGGGATATACATATGACATTATTTTTTTCTATTTGTAGGGATGTGAAATATCATCTTTGTCTCTGTCGGGATGTCGCCATAGTGTTAACGCTGTCTATATTTCTTCCATGGTTTCTCTTTAACTTTTTATTTTACGACAATGTGGTGTGTTTGCCTATTTTCTATTGCATGAATATTTACGTATTCTATAAAAAGTTCAAGTAGTATTTGAGACTGATTGCTTAAAATATCAAATGCATTGTGAAATTGAGCACATAGGTATTCTAGCATCGCGACGTGTGACTGAAGTATCATAAAGGTAATATCATAAAAAAATCTCTTTTTATGTATATGACTAAGTTATATAGCAGAGCCTGCAGATGGAGTTTTAGTCTTTAAAAACCAGGTTCTGGTAATATGGTGTCAAAAATGAATTTTGTTTGTAGACTGAAAGTACATCTTCTGTAAACCAATATTCAAACATTGAGATAATGTACGTGTCGGAATATTAGTACTGTAAATGATGTAATGCTCATCCTGATATCAATAAATGAAAAAATGCTTCATCATCTTACAATACAAGTTATTTAAGGCCTATCTAATATCAGTTTGTCAGATACGTAAGTGACAGCATATGTACTCGCACGGCGTTTAGCCGCAGTCCTGATACTCGGTGTTCACGAGTGTGTGCCTACGATGCAAGTGTATAATTATGTTTTATTTTTGATAAATGTGTGTATGTGGGGGGGGGGGGGGGGGGAGGCAAAAAAGTAATTCCAACAGTGTGGATATGTATGTATGTATGTATGTATGTATGTATGAATGTATGTTTGTATGTGTGTATGTATGTATGTATGTATATGTTTAATGTATCGACCTAATTTGTGTAGAAAATGAAAGGTATTTATAAAGGTTTTGGCGGTGTATCATAGGTCCATAGGTCATAGACCTTGAAATATTATTTAATTTGTTAATTATTGATCAATACTAAAACTTTGCCCTTTTAACCGTGTTTTAAACTATTAAATGTAACCTTAAGAAGGGACCTCGAGAAGCCCTCGCCGGTAGAGCTCTCACCAACCGCTTGTAGCCAATCGATTTCTCAATTACTTTTAACCTGTTATTCCTTTTTTTTAAACTGATAAAAAAAAAAAAAAAAAAAGTTACATCGTATGATTGCAGTGGCGCAGAGCGACCTGTCTTCGCTGGTAGGGCTCTCCCCAACCCTAAGGTAGCGCACTTTGAGTCACTGCAACCTACATGTTAATAATAATAAGAAGGGTAGTCTCACAATAATCTAATGTCCATATTGATCCCTATTACAAGTGGGTTTTTTTATGTTAAACAAACTATTTTAAGTTCTAGGAAACAGCCAACTGCAAGTATTTTATATGTACCAATGGAATTGATTTATATTTTGTACAAGTATTTTATATGTATTAATGAACATAAATGTAATTGTGATATGTGACACTTAAATAAACAAATTGAACTTGAACTTGAACTTGTATCCTGTGTTTTTATATAATAGAATATATACCGATTTGATATAATCTTTTGTAGTTAGTCCTTATATATGTATCCAGCCATCCTCGATACCCAGGGGTTACGCTCACTTTCGCTCTCTGCACCCCTGGAATATGTCATAGCAAGATTGGTGGTACACGGCTAGCTATTGGATTGGTGTTAGGTAAAAAAATGTCCTGACCAATCACTAGGCTGATATTGTCCTTTGAAGATTAAAGAGGAGCGACGCCCGACTTCAAAGCCAATTAGTTTTACCGTTACGCGACCGCGAGATTCTTTTGATGTACATCGAAGGATCAAACTAGTCTTCTTGTCTCATCCACAAGGTGATGCACACTTAGCCTTTGTTTTGCTATGACATATAACAGAGGTACAGAGAGCGAAAGGGAACGTTAACCTTGGATATCGAGGATGGTATCCAGCTAATGTATATATATACATTAGCTGGACATATGTATCTGTTTGATATCTTGTGTCAGAAAATATAAAAGCATAGACAAAACAATTTGTCGTACAGACGAAAGCACGTAATACAGAACAATGGAAATTGTACAAAACCCCATTGTTTTGCGTAGCAAAAAATACTATGGTAGTGATAAAGTATGTGGAAGTGGAAGTTCCATTTCATTCACCTGTTATCGTGTTCTTACCGGAAAATTTGGCCTATTGCTATCACTGCACCGTATAATTATCATCAGTACAGTACGTCTACTTAAAACTGTTCACGTACATTGTATTTTGATAAACATCAACGTTTGACTACCCAGAAGGCTTATATAGGAACTACCGAAACATCTAGCGAATTCCTTTAGTAGTCACCAGATTTATATATAGAGGGTCTCAAACAGTTCCAATCACATATGGTTTTATCAAAATAAATGGAATGGGAATGGATGTAAGATCGTTTCCTTCATGATCGTAAAATTGAATTGCACATTGTTTTGTTATTTATACAGATCATAAAAGTCAAAGAAACTTAAAACCAGTTTTGCAAATGCGTGGAAATAATACGGCATCCTTTTGTTTCCTATGACGTCACATTTGGCGATAAAACACACGCTACATATTGAAAATGTGTGTTTGGGGTTATTTCATAGAATAATAGTAAGTATGCATGGTAAATAGGTCAAACCACATGAATATTACGTCTCAAATTTCACGAGTGCATTGCACGTATTTATGTATAATACGAAGCGTTTTATGTGGCATTTCTTTTATTTCAAATCTTCAGTTGCTCATAATATGCATATGATATTTTTTTCCGCAAAACATTACTCATCACGTACACTTAAACCGAACATCATTGACGGTCAACATAACAGTACATTTGTTCGGAACCCGGTATTGTTTTAATTGATCGAGTTGATCAGTGGATAAGACCCGAGGGGTTCAAGACAAAAAGGAGTTCAGCTATTAGGGTAGTACAACATTGGGAATTATCACAGTTGGAAATGCTAGACCTTGTAGTACATTGCCGCTCGAAAACTGTCTCTATCACCATAATAAGATTACTATGGAATGTATTAAAAAGCAATTAACTGATTACTGTGAACAATGCGTATGTTATTGTTTTATTTCGATAGGGCAAAATTTTAATTGTGATTGGAAAACATGATTCTTTGATTTCCCAAGAGTAGTCATATTTCACTTAACCCTTGTGAAATAAGACCTACCTCAGAAAAACCAAAGAATCGTGTTTCCCTAACACAAGGACATTGAATGTATTTTTAACTAAATAAATGTATTTTTAACTAGATAAATGTATTTATGTCAGCTTGGATAACTAATGTTCAGAGACTGAAGCTTGTTTTGTTGCACTATTTAACATCACAAAAAAAACTAAGATTAAAATGTTGTCAAAGGGAAATTGTGACATATTAAGTTCACAATATTTGAAGACGAGATGAATGATAAACCAATATGAAGTATAATGACTTCTATCTGTAATGTAGCAACAAAGATGGGATACAGACATTGGCACCGATGAGATCCATATTAACTGTTTATGGTATGTTGGAAAATGTCTGGCATCATCCCATCCATTTTTAAATAGATAAATGTATTTTTAACTAGATAAATATTTTTGAACTAGATAAATATATCTGTCTCGTTCCCCCGTTTGGAGTAATGCCATCATTCTTTAGTTGTCAAATTTTTTTTTTAAATGATAATGCCTTTTTTTGTGATTGTTTTATGTCAAAGTTTCCATTGACTACATAACAGGTGACTGCTGCAGTTTTAATGTCTCAAAATGAATTAAAAGTTAGTTTTTAAAGAACATGAATGAAAGGGTACTCCTGGTGTCATGGATTGATAGCGTTACAAGATGAACGTACCACGCACACGTGATTGCACCCATGCTTTTGGTAATAGATACAGTACGCCAACATACATTGCACAGTAATGTTCGTCCTTGTGAGACTCATCTATGAGTAAACAAATAACTATTGTATGACTATAGACTGCTAATGTAAACCCACTCTAGGCTACAGATAAACTAAGCCTGTCTGTTCTGTAGTTCCAGAATCTACCAGGTGATAGTGCAGTCGTTTATACACAACATAATCAACAAACTTGTATATATGTCCATCACAATGTTTATGAATGCAGCCTCAACTTCGTGCCAAGTGCAAAAAGGTTCACAAAAAAAACTGTCAAACAGCTTAAAGCATGGCACTTGTACTGACAATGTGTAACACTTATTCACACGCGTTGAAATATGCATTAGAGTTTATTCCACAAATTGCAATCGGCATAAAGCTTAATCCCGCGAGTCTGTCAGGATACTTTATACATCTATCAGTCTAACTTGTGGTATGGTTCCTTTACCTCCTAGTCTTCTAGTTTGGTCGTGGGGAGCGTATGCAGTTCCCTTTCCCGTCGGTTTACCGTCACTGACTGGACAATTCGGAATGGAACTAGGCACTCTTCTTGAACATATATCGATATGGAAGTCGGTAAAACTGGTTACAGGTCGTTGAGGTCCAAATCCATGTTCACAACAAGGTACAACTTCTCCACTGCCTTCCATGTATACCAGTGTTAGGCCATTCACAAAATAATCTTACACGTATGTTTGCAACAACTTATTATTCAAACAAAAACAAATCTAGTATATCATTTCACATTTGATTTTGCGCCTTTTTACAGGTTCTGTTATTGGACATGTGACTTAAACAAACAACTGTTTCAAAATTTTCCAAATCCCCTTTTTTCATTAAGCAATTTAATTGTCGTTCGAGTTGTCTCCCATTGCCTAAACTTAACTCGCCGTGAAAACAATTGCAAGATCTACTGTTTATTATTATTTGTTATTATTGTGTCTTTGTCTTATTGTTTATCTTAAGTATTAGAAGTTTTAAAGGTAAATAATTTTGAATTACAGTT